GAACCCAAGGTGATATGTAAACTCATCTTCATTGGTCGACTACAAACATGACGTATCATCTGAAACATGGAAGTAGCTACATGCCCATTAGCCCACAGCGTCATTAACAGGCGGCTCGCTCAGTGTGTGACGTGCACTTGGAGATAAAATATAGGCCTATATTAATGAAGGTTCATTAGTACGGTTTTGTATTTCTCTGTAATGTAGCACAGTGTTAACAATGTTACTGATACTATTCTTTCTCACACCTTCAACTCAAACCACCAAAATATATCATTTAATCATTACATTCATATCAGAAACATGCAGGAGACTAGTCGACTAATGGCTCTAAATGACGACTATTGGTCGACTAGGAAAATTCTTAGTTGGAAGCAGCCCTAACTACACTACATTTCTGCAAGCCAAAGTTAAGTTTGGATTTACAGTCAAGTCTAGACTGCACGTTAGATTAGATGCTACATGCTAGCGACTAATTTCCACTCAATGAGATCGGCTTCACGATAAAAGCAGAAAATGGCGTCCCACAAGAGAGAGGGCGAGTAATGATTCAAAGAGATAAAGGTTTGTGACTGCAGTGTGTCAGCCCTGGATAGTCAAAAGTTTTCTTTAAATGCTTTTAAATACAAAATGTTTTTAAGAAGACCTTGTTTTTCTTCAAGTGTAGTGTACACTCCATTTGTAAGGTGGTGTACAGGCTCAGAAATAAACTTGATGATCCTCAGAATTCTGAGCACTTGCTTTTTTATTAACAGCATTTACTTGTACTTTTACTTTCAGCAACTTCAATTAAAAGCCTGGTCCAAATTAAACATCTCGTCCCTTTCAGTAGCCCGGTGTGGCTACACATTTTGACAAATAAAGGCCTGTCTCAATTAGAGGCCTGTGCTTTAAGTAAATAATAGCCCGGGCTACTAATGGAAGTTTAACGGTATTCTAGTAAGTGACTTTAACTTCTGCTAGAGTCATATCCTGGTAAGACATCTGTACTTTTACTTTTAAGGGCCTGTCCCAGTACCCCCCCTTAGCCCTACCCCTACATTTGTACGTTCCCGCGAGGGGTAGTGGTGTCCCAATTCCTTTTTGCGTGTAGGGGGCATAACGAGGAGTAGTGGGTATGAAACTAGCCCTTCGGAGCGAGGGATTTCAGATGCTGACTTGCCAGCGAGGGGTCGACGTCGCCATGGCTACCACCAAGCAAGAGACAGGGAGAAAAGTTCATACATAGCTAACGTTACCGTCGTCAGGTTGCTTGTTGGCTAGCTAGCTAGCTCGCGCTATCTGGCATCTGTCATCTGTCCTGTTCTGCAAAAATTGTCGGATTTTTCACATTAGGATAACACGCCAGCTAGTATAACTATGCTGCCTCGTAATGTTAGCTGGTTAGCTAGCTAGCAGAAGTCCCCTGTCATCTGTTGTTCATCAAACAAAGCATGATGAATAATGTAAACACGATAGTTTGGATGAGCTCAACTGGAGACTCCATTGTAGATGCTGGTTGGAAATGTAGATGGCTCGCAGCCTCCTGTTTAAAATAGTTACATATGTGTGAACGTAACCGACACAGTGACGTAGTGAGTGGTGTCCCAATTCCTAGGGAAGGATTTCAACCCCTACCCCTTGTTGCTTCATTTCGAGGGCCAAGGGATACTGGGAAATGGCTAGGGGTAAGACCAAGGGCTAAGGGGTAGTGGACAAGGGGGGGTATTGGGATTGGGCCTAAGTACGCTTTAAGGTCCTTCAACCACCACTGACCTGTTATGGAATGATCATCCAGCACCAGTGACCTCTTGGCCTAGCAAAGAGATATAAAATGGATACGGCTCAGATCAGCAGCACCAATAACAAGAAGATACACCACAAAGTTTGAATGTATTTTCATCAGTTCTTGTTCTTACCTTTTTACACCCTCCTTTGTACTTTGCTGCCTTCAAGTGACCTTCCTGCAGTGAAATTCAAAAAACAGAAAATAATATTTCCACAACAACCTGTCTGTAAAGATATCCAACAAGGCATGCTAACATGACCAACGTTAAAGGTCCAGTGTGTAGGATTTAGGGGGGTATATTAGCAAAGATTGAATATATCATAATAAGTATGTTTTCTTTAGTGTAAAATCACCTGAAAATAAGAATCATTGTGTTTTCCTTATCTTAGAATGAGCTGTAGCCTGTGGAATAACCGCAGGTACCAGCCCTGGAAATTAACCTGACTCCTGTCTGACTGCTGAGCGTGGACAATTCCTGTGTCTGTCCTTTCAATTAAAGTCCCACACGGTCCAGTCATATAGGTTTGGATTTATTTGACAAGGCTCCAAGTAAAAACCGCCTGAACAATGAACACTAAAGGATTCTAACTTGAAGCCACTAAATCCTACACACTGCTGCTTTAGAGAAAAGCAAGTTGTGTCACACAGTCGTGTTCCACATGTATTTCAAATTCACTTTTCAACAAACCTTTAAAAGTTTTTCCAGTGGGGTGCCCTGACATCGAATGCTCAACTTCCAGTTCTTGAAACTTTTCTTCCCCGCAAACCTCTCAAATTCACAAGGAGTAAACCACTGTTTCTTGAACACAATGCACTTCTCCCCTGAAACCATCAGAGAATAAGGAAAGTGTTCATGTCAGCCATCAATCATCTGCTGTTATTCATAATCAATCCTCCAGTCACTGAGCTTTACTTTTGCCTACCTTTAGCTAGTCTTTGTCTGTCCAGTGTCCCCTCCTTCTGTCCACAGGTCACAGGCAGCTGTGTCTTGTAGATGTTCCAGGTCCAAATGTCACTCTTCTGTCCCTTCTTCAGGGGAGACGCTGAAGAATAAAAAAAAAAAGAACTTTGATTTCTTTGTTACAAATGAGAAACTACAAAGACATAATTTACAGTGATAGTGCGCTAAAAGGCAGCAAACATAAAGACACAGTGGGTCTCGTTCATCAAATGTGAGCAGAACAAATTTGTGTGTAAACTGTACGCAGAGGGAAACCGACGAGTACTTCTGCATATATCAATATGCTAGTAGCTCCAGACTTTTCGTAGATACTAACAAGATCTACAGCTGCTTCTTTCTGCTCGTTGTGCTCGTGTAAATAAGATATTGCACATAAATGCTGCTTGTCTTTATTAGAAGTTACAGTTTTAGCTTGTATTGTGCTCTGTTATGTTCACAATACACAGATGCCTTTGAAACAAGTAAGTTAAACATGACAAGAGATAAGAAATGTAACACATTTAGTTAAACTAGTTGGTATTTACAGGATTTGAGCTTCAGATTAGGGTTCTAAAATATGAGTTATTTGAATGATACAAAACTGGACAACACCTTTCTCTGAATGAATAAAGTAACAAACCAATGTCATGTCATTTTTGTTTAATTTAATTATCAGAGCTGTGACATGGGAGACGTAAACATTATTTCAAATTGAGTTTTGGTTTAATAAGAGCTGTGGGCAGCTGGTAAATCAGAATCTAGCAGAGAGTTGGAGGGACTTGTTGTTAAACTTAACGGTGGGTTAATGCCGACATCAGACTGCCTGCATTAAGATGTTTTAATAGTGGTTTAAACAATGCTGAGGGCAAACTGACACAGAGGTTTCTGCAATGATGCAAGCAATGCGCTCATCTGCAGAAGAGAGCTGTGACCGGCTTCCTGTGGGTTTTTTGTGCGTACTTGTGGGATTTTTTGCATCAAATTTCATGTTGAATCATTTTCATTTAACTTGCTGGATGGTTCTTACAACAGAAGACACGGAGTTAACGGCACCTGTTACCTCCTGCCAGACCTTTGATTTACCTGTTCCTGTCACACCACTACCAACAGAAGAAAATACAATGTTTTCCTTAACTCCACTTCACCCGAAATAACTTCAGTCTCAGCGTCGGAAAAGTTTTTCTTTTTCTTCTTTCTCTTTCTCCATAGTCCAAGGTATTTAACACCTCCTTATATGGTGGTCACTGGCTATTCATGGGCGGGATGTATGCTAATTGCTGACTAGCAGGAGTGCGCTGTCAATTTACGATTGATTGGTATTCATGAACATGCACACCTGCCTGTGATCATTTCTGACGTTCCCATTGCGTTCATGAATCTGAAGTAGGTTTTTAGTACCAAGGTGCAAATCTTCTCATAGATTTACTAACATTTCATGAATGAGACCCAGTGAGTTTAGAAAAGTAAAACCTAAATGGGAGTCGACTTACAGAAGCATAATTTCTTGGACTTTTTCCTTGGAGTCAGTCGAGATGACGGACCGGCTTGCTCCTCCTCCTCCTCCTCCTCCTCATTGCACGCGCTCCTACTTCTTAGTTTTCTCTTCTTTACTGAGTTTTCTTGCTTCTTCTCTCCGTCCTCATCTGCCGAAAGCTTCTTCCTTTTCCCTTCATTTGACTCCTCTGTTTCATCACTCTCTGGTTGTTGTTGGTAAAAATGGAAAGACCCTGCGATTTAAATGAAAACCCAGAGATTAAAATGTTAAGATTTGTACTATTTTTTAACTATTTTTTTTATTATTTTACTTATTTATAAAAAAAAAAAGACATGAACATACAGCAAGCCAACAGACGGAAAAAGTAATATTTATAAATAATAAAACGCATAATGTAAAAGCAAATTGTCAGTGTATAGTTAATTTGATTTACACATCGGAAAAGGAGAGACAACTTCCTATAGATAAACTTATACCTTAGACTTTTCTACATATAGTTTTTATTACCATTTAACTTTGTCACACAACTATAAACCATGTAAATATATATACCAAATATCTATCTTACAAAAACAAACCTGTCTTAGTATATAATATAAATTATAATAGTTCAATAGTAAGCAGATTTACAATCATTAACAGTCTAATGACCATAAAAAAAAAAATTAAAAAAAGAGTCTGACCGTCCTTGAGTTTGTTGTGCAGCAGTCGCAGGGTGGGGTACTGGTTCATGATGGTCTCCGTGAAGACACAGTCCCAGAAGTCTATGATGCGCTTTGACTGTTCTTTTTCCAGCCAGTCCAGAATGTCATAAAGGCCTCTTTTTATGTTGTTCTTACTCTTCATGCGACTCACCTTCTGCACACACACACACAAAGAGAACATTTGCACTGACATGTCGTGTCTGCCTGATCAAATGTTGCATCATTAAAAATGAGCATCTTCTTAACAACGACAACAAAAACAAAACACTAAACAAAAAAAGGCCTTTTCACACTCCCCCTTAAAGCTACTCTTACCTTTCTTGCATTTCACAAAGCACTTAGAACATCCACAACTCCCGCCTCCCTCCAAAGTCCCACCCCCCTCCTCCTGCAACTCCACCTCCCTCCAAAGGCCTACTCCAAGACAACCAAGACAGTCAAACGCAACCCCAGAGTTTTAAAAGTTTTGGAATAAGGTTACAGTGCTAACATTAGATAGTAGCGTTAACGTTACTAGTAAGTGGAAACGCACAAGGAAGATAATGTTAATGTTTCAGAGGCTACGCTACAGTAGGCTAACGTTAGCCATTAGCATTAGCTGGATGCTGTGTTGTCATAAATAACGTTATAGCCTGTTACATTAAGAGGCAAACTAAACATAATGTTACCTGTCATGCACAGTCAAACACAACCCCGGAGTTTTGAAAGTTATCCAGGGTCAGTGATGACTGATGAGTTTTTTATAATATAACGTAAATGCTAACTTTAGATAGTACTGGTGACTCTTTCGGAGCTCCACCTGGATCTTTTCATGGAAAAAACACTGTAGAATGGTCATACTTTGAGCAATCTTCTTCAAATTTGAAACAAATGTTCATTGATAGTGTGCCTACAGCCCCACAGTGTCATTTACCTGCTCAGATGAAGCCACAGACAGTT